AGGAAATGGAAATCCTCGGATTCGATCGGTCGCACCAGTGGACTGCGTTTTTGTTCTATTTAATTCCGAGCTACACCTTCGAAAAGTTATCGAACGGAAAACGGATGATGAACGAGTTTTGAATTTGTATCGTGTCAATGGAGAATCGAATTTTCAATAAAATGATCGGACTCGGAAATCCGGTTGAAACAATTTTCACTGTGGAGGGACGAGGGAGACGTCTGGAAGGAAAATTCTCGTATACACGGTACGCGAAACAGGGAAGAAGCGTGCGGCCCTGTGCGTGTACTCGTGGCATTCACGCGAGAAAACTCCCTGGAGAAATAACCGGCTTGTATGTAATGTACGCCAAGGCATTGTAAGGGGGTGTAAAGCTGGCGCCACGGACCCGAGCTACCGCGAGGGCTGGCGGTTAAGTAAAAAAAGTAGAAACAAGGAGGAAGAAGGAGAAGACGCTCAGCCGGCTCGCAGGTGCGAAACGACGTTCCAACGACGCGTATTTATTATTTTATTAGCCTCAGGGTTGGATGGCCCAAGTTCGAAAGCGTATGAACAACATGGATAGAATAGACCGAGCGCTCAAATGGGAGATTTGAAACCCGGCGATTGAAAGAAAGGCAATTAATAGAAGAGTTTATTTCTTTTTCTATAATAGAGACGGAAACAAAGCACGTTTCCTCGATTTTCCACGGAATCGACAAAATAATTAAAATAATAAAAAATAATAAAAAAAAATAAAAAATAATAAAAATTAATAAAAATAGGGTGCATGATCGTTATTAATTATAGTTTTAGGTAATAAGACAGTCTGTATCTGATGCAAAAGACTTAACGGAATGATGTACAAACCTCGAATCGAATAAATGATATTTTTTTAAATCTAATGCTTCTATTACTTTTACTTTTCAAAATTGAACGAGTAGCAGCGGCGCAAGGCGCCACGGAAGATCAGCAGACTACAGGCTCTATTACACCACTGGCCGGTAAATCAGAGAGCTACGGAGAGAATCAGAAAAGTTCACTTATCCCGGAACAAATACACCGGGAATTTAAAAAGTCGATTACAATCAGAACATCGGTCTATGTATTCTTTTGTCTCCGATTTCCCGGCACTCTAATGATTTTCATATCGCCTAGATTAAAGTGAAAGGTCTACTCGTGATATGGCACATTATTAAAAACTAATATCAGTGGCCTATGCGTAATTATGTTACGAAGATATTTGCAAATAACGCGAGGGTTGAGCGAAACTAACCGTAAATGATAAAATCGAAAATAAGAATAAAGGGAATAGGTATGATAGGGAAAATGAGAGGTAAGGCCCCTGACACCGGTCCAGCCAGTGCTGTCAGAAGTTTATCAAATAATAAGCGAATTAAACAGCGGTGGGACGATGGCTGGCGGACATTTAAAGTGCTCGTTCATGTCCACGTCCGTCCCATCTAATTACCCTCGACTTCAACCGTACGCCCTGTACACCGTACGCCGAATTCGATCCACGACTAAATAACTAATTACCCACCCACCTCTCGCTCTCGGCGCGCTCCGCTTTTATTTCGATCGTCTTCGCCCTCATTCTAATTCTTTTTTCGCTAATTATGCCTGCATTTCCATTAACGGTTCCTCACGTCTCGTATTCCATTCGTTCGAGACGCGTCGATGACTGACGTTGACGATGTCAATTAGAACGAATTAAAGGGTCCGCATCGAAATAAGCGAATCGATCCGAAAATTCGGCTGAACGATAATGTGGGAAGGAGAAATGTTTGGACTGTCTCGAAGTAATAATGGCAAGAGCAATCCATTCGGTCAAGCGAGTGCTTGGGTCGCGTCGGTCTCCTTTGCTCGGTAATAATGAATGGGCCAACTTCAAGGTTCCTCCGTGTCCAAAGATGGACCAGGGTTAAATTTTCAGCGCGTCTACTGACCGAGGCTGTTACAGATTAGTTAATCAAGGAACATGGTCACAGCTAAACTACTGACGGAGTCCTGTCCTTACATCGCGCGTATTTCGCGTTTATCGGAAACAATTTCTCACGCTCGACTCGCGTTCTAAATTCAAATTCACTCACTAGCAAAATGCACATAAAAATTATTCGTACGTGTTAGCGGCAGCTTATTTTTAAGAGTTGTCAAGGACAGTTAACCCGGGATGCCTCGTTTTTTTAAATGGCTTTACGATAGGGACCCAGCTTGCATGGGCCTTAAGAGGCTTTGCAAGGGTGGCTTCCAAATGGCGGGTGGCTCGCCATCGCGTGCCATAAAATAACGTTAGCCATGAGGAAACGTGGAAACAGTTAGGAAAGGTAAAACAGCTGGACCCGGTCTGGCACTAACAAACAAAGATATTGTTCTTAAGGACCTGGCCACGGAGTGGGGAAGGCAAGCATGCCTTCTGGTAAGCGGACAGTGAGGAACGGCACTTACCCCAAACTCTTTGAAAAGAATGCATCTAATCGATTATCAGTCTAAATACCCAACATACGTTTAATTTTTTAAATCGAAACCACGGTCTAATAATTAGTCGAGCACCCACGAGGATCTCGATTCCCAATTAACCTCGAGAGGACAGAAACAGAAGGAAGAAGGGTGAAACGATCCACGCAACATGAGCCTGACCCGAGTAAGACGCGATGCTCGATTAATCACAAACGCCTAACCCTTTGCTGCCCGTTACATAGGGTCGCATCTCGCGTCGCACAGTTTCGAGTAAGTTAATCCGTTGATCGGGAGGATAAACGTCCGAAATGAATTCCGTGGGGCAGGCGGCTGGGCGAAATTAAGAGCCGAAAGGAGGGAACCAGCTTCGAGCAATCTTCGAAACGAGAGAAACGAGCCGAACGCGAGCCGCTTAAGCTCGCAATGGGTCTCTGGAGTATAAAAAAAAAAATGTAAAGTTGGTAGGGTCGGATTCTCGGGTCAAGTATCATCGTCGGTTGGAGGACCGGGAAGAGACTCGTCTAAAGAATCGGGGATGCTGATATAAATCGAGCAAGAGAATTCACTTAATGAACTCGCGTACAACAAGTTTTGATTGACTCGAACAGTGTTCAAATTGTAATTTTCGATAAACAGAGAAGCCGTATTTTTTAACGAGAATGTCGAGTTGTTTGCTGGTCCGACACACGCGACGGGCTTCTCGAGGGTGTAATCGTAATCGAAATTGGAGGGGTTTCGAACGTCGACGAACGAGGTTCCACGGAATCGTGATGCGACCGCGGTGATTCGATTACCGCCTGGTACGGTACACAGAGATTCCGGCGCGAGTTTCGGTAGTTTCCCAGCGAAGAGAGAAGAGAAGTTGCCGTGTGCCGCGGGCTGTGAATAAGGCCGAGCGAGGGGTTGCTTTGGCCAGAGGCGGCTAACGCACTCCAGGGAACGCGTAAATGTGTCCCTTTAGTGGCCGGCTACCCGTTACGCGTACGAAAGGATACGATTTTGCCACCCCCTCCTCGATACACAAAATCATGCCAGTTGTATCGAACTTTCGCAATGGAAATTCTACATATCACGTGTTGAAATGATTCTTTCATCATCAATTGTAGAGAGAAATCGATAATAGATATAGCTAATGTGGATAATTTCGCTTAAGCCTTCTATTCGGCATGTACGAGCTTCCTTATACGATATCACGACTTGGAACGATTAAGGATGTATAGGCTATACACTTAAACAATGCTAGCATGTTGAATTTTTTATTATAGAT